CCGTCTCAAAAAAAAAAAAAAAAATGAAACTGCCTTGACAACCCAGGACTCTACCAGGTGTCAATCTGAAATTCTTGCATTTTAACTATATTTGCACTGAAGAGGAAATAAGAACGCTACAGGATTAAAAACTTTCAAGAGTTATGATATTTAGGGGAAATGGCAAAAAGATCCAATTCTTCATACAACTTTCAAACCTTATAACAGAGAGCAAAGATGCTCTTTCATTGCTAACATAGGTAAACCTTTTTCTTCATGCAGCATTTTAAAAGTCTGAAGGTGTAGTCTAAGGCTTGGGTTCAAATACTGGTACATCTGTCTAACCTTAAGCATCAGTTCTTCATCTGTTACATGTGAAATTCACAGGGTTGTTTAAGAACTCAAAACTATATTGCATGCATATATGTACATATATATATATGCATGCCTTAAATATCAGTTATTGTAATAATTATTCATTGTAGTTTTCAAAGCACTTTTCATATACTACCTGATATATGATATTCTTCCTTGAAAAAGAAATACTTCCCATATCATCTGGGTTTTTAATATGCAAAGTAACTGGATTGCTTGGCTGGTAAGTGTTTGAGGCAGAGCTAAAATGAGGGTCTATGACTCCCAGCAGCCCACCAAGTTGTATTTGTGTTGTCATGAACACAATGTCTTTTTGGATAGGATATTGTTATCTGGTTTCACAGAGTGTTTCCTGGGACATCAGTCCCTAGTACAGTGAGGTGCTAAGTAGGGGGCGATGGTACTATATCATTCTAGAATCTTTCTGTAGCAGTGGCTTGAAAACTTTTTTGACTGAAATCCACAGTAAGAAATATACTTTACATCATGATCCAACATACATATAAATTGCATTTTTTTTTCTTTTTTTTGAGACAGGGCCTTGCTCTATCGCCCAGGCTGGCGTGCAGTGGCGCCATCTTGGTTTACTACAACTCTGCCTCCCAGGTTCGACTCAAGCAATCCTCTCACCTCAGCCAGGGCTACATGGGGAGGTACTTAGCCAGGGAACAACCCATAACATACGATGTGAAGAACTCACATCAATTACAAACAAAATACAATTTGGAGCCATTGCTTTGATTCATGCTAAGACGACTGCAGTTTTACCCAAATTGCTTTTACAATGTCAGTGCAGATATTCATAGAGTGAAAAGGGCAAATTACATTTTAGTCTTACTATATAAGAAAACAGTTTTAACTTTAGTGACTCCCTGATAAGATCTCAGGGACCCCTAGGGTTCTGTGGACCACACTTTGGGAACTGTCGCCCTAAACCAGGAGACATACAAGAATTATCATAATAACATATTAACCTTAGGCCGGGTGCCATGGCTCATATCTGTAATCCTAGCACTTTGGAAGGCCAAGGCGGGTGAGTTCAAGACCAGCCTGGCCAACATGGAGAAACCCTATTTCTACTAAAAATACAAAAAAAAAAAAAAAAATTAGCCATGTGTGGTGGTGTACCCCTGTGATCCTAGCTACTCTGGAAGCTGAAGCAGGAGAATCACTTGAACCCAGGAAGTGGAGGTTGCAGTGAGCCAAGATCACACCACTGCCCTCCAGCCTGGGCAACAGAGTGATACTCCATCTCAAATAAAAAAGAAAGAAAAAAAAGAAAGCAAGTCACATCACAGAAGGACACACTGTGATTCCGTTTGTTAAGGTTCAACATGGAAAAAAATAAGCTCTATTGTTTTTGGCCCCATAGGAAGGTGGTAAAACCACAAAAAAAGGCAAGGCAATGATTAACTTCAAAGTCAATATAGTGGCTCCTTGAGGGAAGAGGGTGGATAATGTGATCAGGGAGGGCCTTCAAAGGTACCAGCACTGTTGTAGTGGACATCACAGAGGTTCACTTTATTTATTTATTAATTTATTTTTCTTTTTGAGATGGAGTTTCACTCTTGTCACCCAGGTGGGAGTGCAATGGCATGATCTCGGCTCACTGCAACCTCTGCCTCCTGGGTTCCATAAATTCTCCTGCCTCAGCCTCCTGAGTAGCTGGAAT